AATATTTCAGACCACAAATACAAATTTTGTCTACTTTATGGATTAGAGCAATGCTACCCAACAATGCTACTAGTTTTGTTTATTGTGGCTCTTAGTCTGTATTTTCAGCATGGCACCAGTTATTATAGGACTGCGTGCCATATGAAGGCTTGTTCTGGTGTTTCTGGTGAAAGCGTGTTATTGTGTTACTGGGCTGTGTGCAGGTGGAGAAGCCCGGCGAGCCTGCGGGGTCTTTGAGAACAGCCAAGCCAGCAGAAGTTCCGGTGGAGGATCGAGCCGCTGCCGCTGTGAACTCAGTGCGTCTCGTTCCTTTTTTCTCTTTCTCTTTTGCGACCACGCTAAGGAACCATTCTTTCATTTTACTGTAGATTTGACAACAGTAGACAACATTAAGAATGTTACGTTGCTGGCTTCCGAGTGGATCAGTCAGCAAGGCTGAGCCCTGTGGCCCGTGTTTAAATCTGACCGTGTCATCTGCCGACGATGACCAGAGGCTAACAGCAGTGGAAGAAATTTACTTTGTTGTGGGATAGGGGTTGGTAGGTCAGCCAGGCTCTCCTTGTCTCACTGCTCTGTCCTGCAACTTGGCATGCACATTGCAGGGATGATGTCAGGGGAGTAGTGCATATATCTTCCATTGAGACTCTGTTTTGCCATGGATTCACGCAATTGCTGGTGCCGGAAAAGGAGAAAAAGCATTTTAAAAAAAAGTACCACATCAGGAAAATGTGGGAGGGAGGAAAGAAAGGCTGCTTGCATGCGCCTCTCAGGAGGGGTATTCTTCATGTGAGATTTACACAGGGAAACATCAGGGGCTGCTGAGAAAAGGGAATCACACATTTGCACAGTCCTAAGCATTAGTCAATCTTCCTCACAGCAGAGAGGGATGAAATTGCTCAGCCTGTTGAGTATGAAGGGCTGGCTCTGGGGATGCTGGGATGCCTTTGTGTGCGTGACTATTACACTGTTTGTGTGCTGTTTTTGTCCTGTCCTTCAGGCCAAAGGCTCCACGCCTCTTGCCCCACCACCAAAGCCAGTTCGCCGGCGGCTAAAATCCGAAGACGAGCTGCGGCCGGAGGTGGAGGAACACCCGCAGAAGTCCAGCGTCATAGCTGCTGTTCTAGCGACCCAGCCCTCTATTCCAAGGTATGAGACCACAGTCATGTGTGGGCATGAAGCACAATGACGTTGGTAGTGCGGCTATCTTATTTAATAATTGGGTGGCAATGTAGTGCAGTGGTGAGGAACCAGACTCTTAAACACAAATGTTGCCGATTTGATTCTCTTGAAAGAGACACCTCCAAAAGCACTCACTTTAAGGTGTTTCACTCAATGAATTGGCATCAGATGATGTCAATCATCAGGCAGCGGTTTGGGACTGAGGAAATGATGCAAGACCAATAACCAAAGGCTGCTGGTTCAACTCCCAGGGCACTGCAGTTGTACCCTTGTGCAAGGTACTTTACTTGAACAGCATCAGTAAATTTCCAGCAGTGTAAATGGATGGTATGTAAGCTATGTCGCTCTGGATAAGGGTGTTGCCAAGGGAATGTACTGTATTTTTTTTCCTGTGAAAAGCAGTGAAGGGGAATCTCATTGGTCTACAGGCATTTTGTTGACCTTCCTAAACTTTGCTCTGTGAGATGAAGATGGGAACATCCATCTTTATTATATAAACTGAATGTTCTGAAAGTCATTTTAGAAATAGAGAATGAAATATTTATGGCACTTAAAATAGGAAGTAACTGCATGTTCTGCATTACCTTAAGCTGCAGTGAGGTTTTCTTCCCAAAAGTCGTCCATTGTTTGTCTTGACAGATCTGTTGGCAAGGACAAAAAAGCTATCCAAGCGTCTATCAGAAGAAACAAGGAAACAAATACAGTTCTGGCAAGGCTCAATAGCGAATTACAGCAACAGTTAAAGGTAAGAATATGACTGTCCCTGATGAAAACAACTACATCTTAGTGTTGGTGCAGTGTTACATTGCTGTTTGATGACCCAGAGGAAAAATCAGTATACCAGATCAGCTTAACTTAGTTTTTAGTTAATACTGCATTGTAAACTTGACCATTACTATCTTTTCAGGGACCAGTTTTATGAATTAAACCGATAGGGTATTATTTCTTGAGAATACTAAAGTTTATAGATACATCAGTGTTAATCGCCTAAAGTTGAGGGTCAGGACCAAAAGCTGGTCTTGTGTGCCTTTGTAATGGGCCACAAAATGTTCAAATTCATCTTTTTTATGCGTTTCCACTGTGAATCAACATAATACATTAGCACTCATGAATTATTAAATATTGAATTCTGAAATACTTTTCACAATTTGCTGTGATAGTTTCACTGATCTGGGAGCACTCTAATTATTGCGTAATGTGAAGAAGTTGAAAAAGAATTAAGACGTGAACATTAATCGTTAGGACAGTCAGCTAAATGTTTATTGAATAACAGCAGTATGGGATTCACTGAGAGCTTTAGGAGGAATGTTCCAGAAACATGAGGTGACAGCCCAGGCTGCTGATCCCTGGCTGGTGTAGCACACTAACAAAGCACATCTTAGAAGTGCCTTTGGGTTTTAAGGCCTCAGTGGCCTTGAGATTAAACTGCATGATGGCGTTATCAAGTGGGATGTAGACTAACTGTGAAATTCACAAGGAGAGGCTGAAGTTCAGCTGGAGTTCAGCTTTTTCTCTTGCTTTCTTCTATTTGCAAGTTTGTGAATATTTTTTACTTCATTGTTGCTTTTTTGAGCTACAAAGCTCTAGATTAAAGGCAAACATGAATAAATTTGTGTGGTTATCAAAGACTCCGTAAGGACAAAAATATGTTAGTGATAAAGGATCTGACATGAATTACTTTATGGAGATTTTGGACACTTGGGCACACAGCTGCAGATCATGGTGTTTAAGGTAGCCGAAACTTGGAGTTGTGATCATTTAACAAATAATTCTAACGACATTTGCCTCTGAAAAACAAGGCTGGGGACGTGTGACTAAGTGTTGGCTGCTGAAGTGGTCTTTTGTTTGTCTCTCGCAGGACTTGCTAGAAGAGAGGATATCTTTGGAAGTGCAACTGGAACAGCTGAGACCCTTTTCACACTTGTAATCTCAGTGTGTGCCGTGTGTCTGAAAACCCCACCAGCGACAGACCTTCAGTTCGACCCTCCCCCCTCACCGGGACATATTGCCAACCTCTATTTCCACTCTATCTCTACCCCAGTTAACTGTTTGTGCAAATGTGCACACTGCCTGCGTTCAGACACACCAGTTGGCAAGAGAACCTGTCACTTCTTAGGATTGGGGTTAACATGCAACTAACTGAGGCACTTTCATTTCAAAGAAATTAAATTGTATGTAAACGTTAATGCCCCTTACTTTGGCAGTGGTTCTGGAACTAGATTCACAAGGCCCCTATAATTCTGTTCATGGTGAGTCTTCAGTTGATAGAGGCAGCGAAGTGCATTATGGTCACCTGTAGGTGGCGCACTTTCACGCATTAAGCATGTTGCACATTAGCTGAATTCTGGGCTGGGGCAGAGATGGAGGGAATGAGAGCTGAGCGTCCCTCCTGCAGCGTGGTTAAGAGTCATTATGGGACTGAACTCCTCCTCTGCAGTAACAACTTGGAGGTCTGTCTTTGACGGGCATCCAGGCACCATTTACTAACCTCTGCCAGCTAGCAGGGGGCATCTCCTATTGTTTTCCCCAGCGGTTTAGATCGTAACATGATGACTTGTGTACCTTGTACAGTACCTGACCCAAAACAACTGCATTCACATGTCCTTTCTGTTGCGTTTCGTCTCTTTAATTCCCCACATCCCCCTCTCAAGCGGTACCTGACCTGAAAGGGTGCCACTCCAAACACACACCCCCCCTCACCCCCCTTCCCAGCAGAGTACTGTGGAAGAAGAGAAACCTGAAATTAAATGACTGCACCGCCTAACACGCCCCCTTCCTTTTTTTTTTTTCTTGGCATCATTTTATTCTGCATGTTCATGTTCCTACTGATTATAAAACAGCTCTTAAAAAAACGAACCACTCGATTTGTATCTGTGTATCTTAACTTGTATCACTTAATTTGTGTTGTTACCTAAACTTGTATCAGTCTTTTTGTTTTCATTTTTTTTCCTGGAACTTGCTGTGTTTTGGTTTCTTTCACCTGTCCTCTCAGCCGCTCTCCTGCCGTTCAGGATCCACTCTACTGTACTCTCCGTGTGTTGAACCGAGGTGAGCCTTTCCCTGCTCTTCAGGTTGATGTACTGTATAAGGGGTATGTTGTATATTGTATGATACACACCTTTTGATCTCATATGTAAATTTGCATTAATTGCTGACTAACAGCAAATATTCTATTTAATTGCTTATATTATGGCTGTGGGATCATAGATGTTTAACTGCATGGATGTCTCTGCAGAATGAACTAGCAGCTGTGTGATTTTTACACAAAATAAAAACAGCACAATATTTTAATTGCCTGTCCTGTTTATTTTTTTTTCCCATGATTCCAAAGCCTGATGTTTCTCAAGTGGTCGTAATGAAAAATTGCTTGATTTGCTTTTAAAATCATTTTTCTGTGGTTTGATACTTGGCAGCAGTGATAAAACTGAACCCAGTCCATTCTCTTTGGCTGCTAGCCTAATTTAAAGCTTCAGGCAATTTCCCCAATGGTCTTTTACCCTCATATTTAAATAATATTAATGCTGACTTGAAACAGTCAAAGGTATATCCTGTATCAAAAGTTGTTGTTTTCTTTAGTTGTTTGCTTCTCACAGTCAGAGCTTGCTAGAGCAGTGTAGAGATTTTCAAAGGTGTTTTGTATATTTTATTTTAAGCCTGGAAATGCTGAGATGAATCTCTTGGTGTATAAATGATGTTAAATAGTTTTTACACACAAAAGTAGTACTGACCATTTAAATCTGATATACTAAAAAAAAGGATTATTGAGTAATTTTGCTAGAATTGGAATGCAGTGAGAACAGTATTAACTCATGGCACTGGGTGGCAGTGTAGCTTAGTGGCAAGGAGTAGGGCTCATAACCGAAAGGTTTTGGGTTCAATTCCCCACTGGGGCACTGCTGCTGTACCTTGGGGCAAGGTACCCAGACTTTCCTCAGTAGGTGTCTAGTTGTCTAAATGAATAACCTGTAAAAATTGTACCTGTGTAATAACCTGTGTAAGTTGCTATGGATAAGAGTGTCTGCTAAATGACAATACTGTGTAATGTAATGACCAAACAGAAATTGTCAAAAACAGTGGCTGGGGCTTTTAGTATTCTGTATATTTTATTAATTTCTGCAACACGGTTTGTAGCTGTGAGGATATGCGGGAACATTCAAAACAATCCGTTCCAACTTATACCAGAATCTCAGGTAAAAACTTTTTCCTTTTCATCCACCCACTCTGACAGAATAGATTTATAAAGCAAAACAGTAGTACAGCAAAGTTAGGTAAGATGAGCTGAACTAGTCAGGGGCTCAAATAAACAGTGGCTCTTTATTCTTTCCTCTTTGAACAGCTACTTTTTCTTTCTTTTTCTGTATTGCCACACAACTGAGAAGATTTTACTCAGTGCTAATCTGGAATGTTACAGCAGGAAGGACTTTGAGGTGGGAGCGAAACATTTCTAAATTAAGGAAATGATTTGTTACGGTAATTATTACATGGGATTCACAAATATTAGTTATTAATGACTTGTGAAACGGTGCAGAAGATGCTTCAAGGGCTGGTAATCCAGTCTGGAGAATGTGCCATGGTTTACTTCACAACTCTGGAAAAGAAAAACATTTGAATCAAAGTAAGACACAAATAAACAGATCAGTTGTACTATTTACTAGTCTGATACAACCCTCTTTTGCTCAAGAGCTAGTGGTCTTACTTTTCACTCAACAGTTCACTCAACTTTCAAAATTCTAAATACACTACCCAGAGAAAATAATATCCACACTGACCAGTGGCTGACAGGTTGAGTAAGCAAGGAGTCTCTCTTCAGTTTGCATTGTGCTTGGACTGAGGGATGTGTAATTTATGTGGTGATTGGAGGGATCGGGTGCATAGTTTCTTTGGAATGTGCTTGGAGGGAAGGGTGAATTTAGTGCGGTGAACACTCACATAGTGTCCTGTTTGTAGCGATCGAGAGCCTCCTGTGCCACCACCTCAGAGAATTTGGGATCAGTCCAGGGGATGTCACCGGGTACTGTGAAGGTCATGGGGGGCGAGTCGAACAGCTGGACAGACACGTTGGTGTCCCCTGGTTTCTCGGGGTCTTCAGAGCTCTTGCAAATCACCTTGAGAACAACAAAGTGGAATTTAAGAGAAAATGGCATGTTGGTGTTATAAAGTCATATTAGCTGATGCTATAAATAAATTAATAAGTATGTTTTAAAGTAGCGAAGTTGTTGATATGTATATATAATTCATATAGTTCATGTAAGTAAGCATATAAGTGCATAAAAACTATAAAAACCTATTTATTGCTTGAATTATAATACTGATGTCAAAATCATAACTTTAGAGGACCTCATTTAATGTAATCTAAGGCCACAAATTTTGAGGCAAAAGAGGGCTGCAAGGAAGACTATGCAATATAAAGTAAGGTGACCCTCAGAAGTTCAGTCTCACCGTTTTAATCTTGAAGATTCCGTCCTCATTCTGCGTGTTGTTGGCCAGCGCGGACACCCAGCCGAACTGTTTGTTCAGCATGTCGAGCAAGCTGGAGGTGTTGAACATCTCCTCCTCAAACCTCCTCAGGAGGCTGTTGTACTCCTGGGTGAACTTCTCGGCCATGGCCAGTGCATCCTCCAGCTCCTCCTTCAGGTTTCCATCCAAGGGCTTCTTCCCTGAGCAGTCTGAGAGAGAGGAAGCCACTTCCTGTTTATAGCTGTGAGGTCATTAGCCATGCATGAAATATCCCATTTGATACCATATAGACACACATGGCTCATTTAGCGAGATGTGATAGCATCCTACATTGCTAGGTTCTGATTAGACAAAGTTCTGTTAAGTTCCGTTAGTGGTACTTAATTGATTTGGAACTGTTCATTTATGTGCCACAGGGAGTTCAATGCACTAAACAGCTGATGCCTTTTCACAGACACTGTGAGGTTAATCAAATTAGGCAAATGAAGAATGCTTTTATAGGTTGCATTTAGAAGAGGAGTGAAGAGGGCTTGTTTTGTTTAGTCCATGAAAATAACTGATTCAAGGCCATACAATGCATCAGCATCAAAATTACCTGATGCAGTCTCCACAATCTCCACTCTGACACATTAGGAGACACACATTGTCATTTAACTTCAACAGAATAACATATCAGTGAGAGCTTCATATTTGATGTGATTTGAAAAATGTAAAAGCTTTTTTTAAAAAAAAAAATTACTATGTGCATAAACAAAAGCCAAAGGCTGTAAGTGATCGTTACCAATAGACTGAATCTCTTTGCATTTTTCACACTCCTCTCGCAGCTTGAGGCAGCCAGCAGAGTTGCGACGAATTTCCCTGCAGGTCATGTGATCCTTCCCGAAAGGCCTGGTAATGACGACGTCCTCATTCACAGCTCCATCTGTTTGCAAAACAAATACGGAAAAAATGAACACATCTGACACATGGCATTCCCAAATATCCTTCCACTTAGTATTATACATTGGTATATTAGTTATCATTCCCATGGCTGTACCAGGAAATTAGTCTAATTGCACCAACTTTACATTGAATCAGGTGAATCATAGATGGCATGGTGTCAGAATTTGTATTAGGCTACACCAGGAAAACAAAGTTCATCATGACAAAGCTGCAGCCACAACTGATAGAATGCTACACCATATCATCAGTGGGCAGGGTGTCAAGGCATGTGTCTAGCTACGCCGGGGAACAATGCTAACTTTAAAGCGTACCTTCATTGGGAATGGAGTCGAAGTCTGGATCGCTGCCCATGTAAGGCCCCAGTGAGCCGAAGAGGCTGCGGGCCATGTCCATCATGGGCTGGAACATGTTGTGGAAGCCGTGGAACTCGGGGTCCCGCAGGACAGACCTGTAGGGACGGGGGTGCGGCTCGCTCGACCCGAAGTAACGGCGCATCATGAAGGGGCTGGAGAACATGGGCTGGCGGAAGGAGCGCATGTGGTCGAACACCTTCATGCTGTCCAGGAAGATGCTGTCCACGCCGTCTTCCACCTCTGAGTATCGCTCCTCCAGGTCCTGGAACCTCTGGTTCTGCTCCTGGTCCTGTCTCTCCAGCATGTCTATGTTCTCGCCATTGATCCAGATGGAGAAGGGAGAGCTTCTGTTTAAGACCTCTTCCAGCTGACGGCACACAAAATTATTTCTCATTACTGTACTCCAGTGAGGAGCACAATCCAGTACTGTGAGGACATTCATTTGAAAAACCTGAAGGGTGTGGACTCAAGTGAAATGAAATTCAAAAGCAGAGCACTCTTGTATCTGTAGTATCACTTGTTCAACTACAGCACGAAAGGCAGATCTTAGCCACGGAGTGTGTATTGTATAACTATGCTGAAGGTTCGGGGTGATGTGATCACTGTGTATCTGTACTAAAATCAGATTTTAGCCAAGGTGTTCTTGCTGTATAACTACTAAAAGCAGATATAATCCCTGCTGTGCTTGCTGTATGACCATGCTAAAGGTACATTTTAGGGCCAATGTGATCTCGGTATAATCGTACTGAGGTTTTGGTTGCGGTATGCTCACGGTATAACTGTACTAAAGGTAATCCTGGCCCACCTGTCTCCCCACCAAGCCGGAGCCGCTGCTACAGGTCCTGGAGTAATACTTGATGCAGGTGTTCTTCAGACATGGCTTGCACTCCTCCCACAGGGCTTGCATCGTCTCGTTGCACACCTCCTGCTCCTCCGCCAGCTTGGTCTCCATCTCCTGTGCCGTCTTCATTGCAGTCTGAGGAGGTCAAAGGTGCACAGAGTCAGAACGCTCACACGTAGGTCTGTACTCCCCTCAGAGATACCCAAGCGCTAAAACTGCACTGGCTGATTTTCACTTGTGATGTTACACAACTGCTTACAGTGCACTTTCACTGCTCGTACCTCTAGAAACATTTTGCTTTACTTTTCTGGTCTGTAATGAGCTAACAGCAAGCTGATCAAAGCAAGCTGAATAGTTGTCACACAAGCAGAAAAGAACAAACTATTTTAATTTTCCTATGTGTGTCAAATGGAACAGATTACATTTTCAGAACAGCAGACAAATCCATGGGGCAAGGAACAGATAATCTCTAGTTTTGGTAATACTTCTAAGGCCAGCTAAAGCTTTGCAGGACAGACAGTAAAGCTCAATCCAGCATTTTAAAGGGTACATGTACCTCTTTCTGCTGTTTGGTTTTCTCCAGATCATTCAGGAACTTTTTGTGGTCCTCTCCAGATCTCTCCATCACAGACTTCATCTCTTTCACCCCTGTGATAGCATTCTCGATCTGCCTGTCCAGGTACTTCTCGCCCAACAGTGAAATCTCTGCAATGCAATATGGGAACTCATTGATTTAGAAGAGGCAGAGAGAACAGCAATATGAAGTGGAAGGGTTTGCATGTGTGTGTGGGTGTATATGTATGTGTGCACGTGTACGTTTGTGCATGTGCATGTGTGCACAATTGTGTGTTTGTTAGCGTATGCCTGTGTGTGTGTGAGCGTGTGTGTGTGTGTGTGTGTGTGTGTGTGTGTGTGTGTGTGTGTGTGTGTGTGTGTGTGTGTGTGTGTGTGTGTGTGTGTGTGTGTGTGTATGTCTTACGGTTTAGCTCCTCTTTGGACGGAGGCAGCAGAGCGTCTGCAGAGCAATACAGCAGGCAGAGGCCCAGGAGAGACCAGATGAGCCTCATTTTACTGTCCTTCACAGGAAGCAAACCGCACACGCAGTCCCTCTCTTCCAAGGGCTCTGAGTTAACCTGCAGAGAAAACCGAGCAGGAGGAGGAGACATATTCAGAGCAAAAAGTTGCTCATTCTCCTAGTTTTATAACAAACAGTTACTGCTTACATACAAATCACATGCTACTGCACATGCTCCTGTGATGCTTGTAAAGCAATACAATTTCGTCTCGCTTGGCCCTAAAC